TGCTGAACAGTCGGCAGTGAGGGCACTTGGCTGTGGTGAGCAAAGGTGTTTTTGTGAAATATGCTGCCCTCATCTTGGTCTTGGAGGACCGATATGATTTGGGCAGGTAAAAAGGATTGCAAGGTATTTCAGGTGGAAGCACTTGATGGTAGAGTGTAGAGGGCTGAAAAACAACCCCCAAAGGTATCAGATTCCCATCCCTGGAACTTGTAAATGTCACCTTGGAAAAAGGGTCTTTGCAGATGTCTTTAAATTAAGGATCTTGGGATGAGGAGATTATCCTGGATTATACGGTGGTCCCTAAATGCAATCACAAGTGTTCTTGTAAGTGGGAGGCAGAGGGAGATCACAGACAGAAGACGAGAAGGTGATGTGATCACAGAGCAGCTAGCTATTGGAGTGATGCGGCCACAAGCCAATGAAGTAAGCTTGTAGGAAGAGGCAGGAAAAGGATCTTCCTTGGATCCTCTGGAGGAGTACAGGTCTGTCCCCACCTTGATTTTGGCCCAGTGACACTGATTTGAGATTTTTGGCCTCCAGACTGTGAGAGAATAACTTTCTGTTGTTTAAGCCACCATGTTTGTGTGATTGATTATAGCAGCCCCAGGAAATTAATACAAATAGGAAAGGGAAAGCCTGCTCGGGTAAGGGTTCAATGTGTTTGCTGGGAGGATAGTCAGATATTTAGAGAAGTGGTAACTACAGTTGACCCTTCATGGATGCTGAACCCATGGATTCGAGGGCCGGCTGCCCTGCCGATACCAAGGGATGACTGTAAATGGCTAGGGCCAGCATCTTGCATTAGTTTGAAGAGTTCCTGCAAATTTCTACCTGGATCTTATCTTCCCACCTGGAGTGAGGGGCTCTGGAGGGGAACCACGATGTCTGGCAGATTTCTCTGCAGTCCTAACTCCCGTGCTCCTTAGGTATAGGCAGCCACTGCTTGTTGAATGGCCTGATGAATGCTGGCAGCTGCTGTAGCTGGGCTCACACTGGGTTTATTGATGATAAATCAAAGCTGTCTGGAGCTCAGAGACAATTGATGTACCTCTCATCTGCAGACTGTGATCTCCAATCGAATTCCCATGACCTACCTCGCAGGGGTGTGATGTGTTAGGAAATGCTCAGCCAACCCAGGATGAACAGGCGGCAGCGGCAGAGGTGGGGCTCTGGAGGGAGGCACTCTGGGTGGAAAGCAGAGCAACTCTGGTTGGGGTAAGAGGATGGGAGTTTCCCTGCTGGGTGAAATGGCCTTCTTGATGGCAGAGTCAAATTCTCTGCCAGCCCCAGAGAATGTGATTAAAGATGGCTCTGGGGCTCTTAATGACACTCTTATTGATCTGAGGTTGTTTATAGCCATAAAACAGCTGTAAATTAGAGGAATGAAATAAAACCAGCAGGGTACTTAACTCCTGTCCTCCTAGGAGGTTGAGAAAGCTTTCTGCACAGCTCCTGCGGCAGCAGGCAGCTGAAATGTAAGTCTGCAAAGGGGAATCTCATTCTCCTTTCCTCCTGACAGTCCAAGCTAGTAGCTGTCTTCTCACCGCTGAAACCTAAGCGTCATCCTTGTTGGGAAAGTGTCGGCTAACACAATTCCCAGCTGGGACCACCGTTTAATTGTTTACCGGCTGCTGTGTGTTAGATGCTCAGGGCCAGTTATCTCCTCCTTCCAAAGCTGTTCTTCTGTTTTTAATCCCCCTTCCCTCCCTTTCTTTTACTCCCATCTCCTTTTCTCTCCCTCTTTTTTTTCTTCCTTTCTTTTGTTCCTCTTTTGGCCACACTTTTTATCAGATTAAAGGGTTTTGACACATCACTATTTGTAAAGCAGTTAGAAGTTTCCAACAATCGCCAACCATTTCAATGTAGTAGACCACACCTTGTGACATTGGACTTTCTTTGCTTTCCCCTTGTAGAGATCCGAGAGGCCTTTCGGGTTCTGGACCGAGACGGCAATGGCTTCATCTCCAAGCAGGAGCTGGGAATGGCCATGCGCTCTTTGGGGTACATGCCGAGTGAGGTGGAGCTGGCCATCATAATGCAGCGCCTGGACATGGACGGTGAGACCCGGGTCTGCAGCGTCCCCACCCCTGGGATGAGCCTGGACTCATCAGGGAGATCTTGGGTTTAAGGGCCCTTGCACTTGGAGTCGAAAGACTTCGATTCATGTCTTGGTTTACCTTTGAGGAGTGGAAACTTGAACTAGATCAGGGTTTTTCAAACCGCATTCCGTAGACCTCTAGGGGTCTGCACAAGTGGTTCTGAGGCCTCTAGAAGGAGCAGGGTGAGGAAGGGGGCCTGGCTGGCGGAGTACTGAGAAGGGTTTTGTTTTGCTTTCAGAACAGCTTTGTTGAGAAAGAATTCACACACCATGAAATTCACCTATGTAACTTATACAATTCAATGGCTTTGAGTGTATTCACAGATTTGTGCAACCAATGGCATAATCAATTTTAGAACATTTTCACCATCCAAAAAGAAACCCTGTACCTCTTATTCATCACCTCCCAATCCCTCTATCCCCCACCAAGTCCTAGGCAACCACTAATCTACTTTCTGTCTCTCTGGACTGAGCTCTTCTGGCTGTTTCATATAAATGGAATCATGTAATGCACAGTCCTTTGTGACTGGCTTCTTTCACTTAGCGTAATATTTGTAGGGTTCATCCATATTGTAGCATGTATCACTACTTTGTTGCTTTTTATGGCCAAATCATATTCCATCATTTGGCTATAACAGCTTCTTTTCTCTGTCTTACATACTGGGTTTCTACATACAATCACATTGAGGAAAAGGGTTTCATTGTATTTAAACAGTTCTGAAAAATGACGGCATTTGATGATCCTTAAGATTCTTTCCTGCTCTAAAACTGGCTGTGACATTCCTGCCTTGGCTGAAGGTCCAGGAAGGAGCCTTCTTATTTTGTTGTTTTCAACACACACTCTCCCCCTCTGAAAAGCAGCTTGATTCCAGGTGTAAAGGGTTCAGAGTGGTGGGCTTTGGGGACTCGGGTATACTCATAAAGCAGAGACCAAGTAAAAGGAAACATAGGAGGGGGGCAGGATGTCTTTGGGAGAGATAGATGAAGACCCTGGTAGGGAGATGTTTGCTTGGCCTGCAGGCTAATTGCAAGAACATGGCTGTGTCCTGTTATCCTGCTGGATTTGTTGGAAGGATGATAATAAGTGTGACCGTATGGTGAATGGACCCCAGTGCCAACCACCAAGTGCAGCTGTGGGCATTTATTTGCTGGTTCAGGAAAGAGATATTTTATCAGGGATGTTCAGTTGTATGTGGAGTGCCAACCCTGTGCTTACAACCTTGATGGATTGTGACTCACTGGGTCTTTGCAGGCCTGACTCGACCTTGCTTTGTATGTAGAGTATTTCTGACAACCTGGAGCAAAGCACATGTTGTATATGTCCATGAATTCCCATCATCACTTCAGAGATACATTTCCAGGAAAAAAGAAAAAAGAGAGTTTCTTCCTTAAAAGAATAGAAATCTTAACCCGTGCCTCTGTGTACAGAATTAAGATTTTTGTGCTTTTGAGTCTCCTCCCACAACTTGTAAAATAAAACATGGTCAACTGGACTAAAAGCAAATGGAATTAGCAACGTTTAGTCAAAATGATCTGGGGCTATCGTGGGAGAGTCACTCCTCTGAGATTTAAGAGTCTTCGTCCAAGTCCATCCTTGTTCTTTGTATATTCATTCATCAGACCCTGGCTCATGGGGAAGTTTTACATTTTTTTTCAAATCCTCCCTGATTCCACCAGGAATTGGGAGTCCCCAGGGGATCTCGTGTTGATGGTGCTGTTCAGCGGGCCCGTCAGGACTCAGGCATCCATATCCATATAGGGGTTACAGTTTAAGAGACAGTTTATTTGCAACATCATACTTAGCGACCAGTGCCGAGGGTGGAACTTCCAAGCAAAGCGTGTAGAGAATTGCTATTAGTTCCTTTAACAGAAGCCCAAGTCATCGGCCTTTTTCGTGGTGACCCCATCAGGTGAAAACACTGTTATTTACCTTTTTAAAAAAAATTTCTTTTTATTTATTTATTTTTTGGCTGCATTGGGTCTTTGTTGCTGTGCTCCGGCTTTCTCTAATTGCGGCGAGCGGGGGCTGCTCTTTGTTGCGGTGCGCGGGCTTCTCATTGCGGTGGCTTCTCTTGTGGCAGAGCACGGGCTGTAGGCACGCAGGCTCAGTAGTTGTGGCTCGCGGGCTCTAGAGCGCAGGCTCAGTAGTTGTGGCGCACGAGCTTAGCTGCTCCGCGGCATGTGGGGTCTTCCTGGACCAGGGTTCGAACCCACAGCTTCCTCAAAGTTTTGTTATCTCCAAAAGATTCAGCGTACAACAAATGCAACAATGTAGCAGAGTAGGCAAAAAGAATTGCTTTTGCAACATATCAAATGCCTAAGCGTGAAAAGAGCTAAGGGAAAAAAAATGCCCAAGCTGAGGCTGAAGTGTGTGTTTTTACATGTTTTGCAGATGATGCTGGTAAGTAAAATTTCTGGGGTCTTGAGTTCTAGATATGGACGGATTGGCTGTTTTTCAGTGTCCTTCTCTTAATGGGGCCTTTTGAGCTGTTCTGTTAAAAAAAAAAAAAAAAAAAAAGTCAGGTTCTAATTATATCCTTCCTCCCCAGCTTCTGTAACTGGGGATTCTCTGCAGAGATTTGGCCCTACCTAATTAAGCTTCTCTTTGGCGCGAAACTTGTAGAATGGCAGAGGTTTTTATGGCGAAATGCCACACACACACACACACACACACACACACAGACACAC